GCCAGGCTTGGCCGTGAAGCGCAGCAGCAGCGCTCGACCCAGCTGCAGGCCCCGGCCCAGCGCCTGTCGCACCGCCATGGTGGCGCTTCGGGCGTCCGGGACGCGGGTCACAACAACAAACTTCGGGGGCGGCGCCTCTGCGCAGGCGCGGGCGCGGGCGCCGACGGGAGGGGTCGCGGATCTGGCAGTTCCAGCGCTGGACGCGCGAGGGCGCTGTGCGCGCACCTGGCGGTGGGTAGTTTCTTGCCCTTTTGCACTTTGGGCCGAGTGGGCTGGTTTGCGTGTCTGGCAGGTCCAGGGGAGCTAACATTTATCGAGCATCACCCACCATGCCAGCCTCTTTACTGCTGTTAATTTAGTTAATCTCACCAATGAGATAGGAGTATCATTTTTATAGATAAGGAAACAGGCATATAAAGGGCAGTGACAGAGGTCACAGTGTCAGGCTGAGGTTAAAGTTCATGTTGCCTTGACTACTGATTCCTTCCCCCTCCCCAACGCCCTTAGGCACCTCTCTGCAGTACCACAGCCCCTGCTAGCTTCTTAGGACCCCAAGAGAAATGTCACCCAAAGGCCACATTTTTCAGGTGCTTGAGCTGAGTTCCGGAGACGTGGAGGGACTTGCTCACAGTCATACAGCTTGTTAGTGGCAGAGCCCTGTTACCCAAACCAGCTGTCAGGAATGGCCGATAAAGGGATTCATACTGAGTGATTTCTTTTTTTTTTTTTCTTGCCTTTTTGATTAATGGGAATTTTCACGCATACACGAAAATAGAACAGTATAGTGAACCCTGTGTATCCATTAACCAGCTTCAGCAATTACCAATAAAAGGTCAGTATTTTATTTACCTGTACTATTAAAGAAAAAATACACAGGCCCCAAATGGTGTCCTGCTAAAAACCTATGGTACCAAACCCAGACTTAATACCCAATCTAATTGCAGTTTCACCTCTCCCAACATAATCAACCAGCACGAAATTTTCTGGTCAAATCCCAGTAATCTGTCACTTAGGCCCTCTCCATCCCCTATAGAAAGAAGAGGTGTGAGCAAGGGGGCATGCCCAAAAGGAGTCCCTCATACACTTTTGTGCCTTTCCACAATGCCAGTTTTACTGGAGGCGACCCCCCCAATAAGCCAACAGTCTCATGCAGGTTACACACAGAAAAGGGGGAGCTTATGTGATAGAAACAAGCAGAGTGAGCATTGGGTGGGAAGTCCTGGTGACTGGGTGGAGGTGGTGTGGGTCCCAAGCCAGGGGACTACAGTGGCGGAACGAGTCTGGTGGAGTGGAAGTCGGGCAGGGCTTCGAGCATCGTCCATGGTACAGCCAAAATTCCTAACTAAAAGCAAGTCATGGCGGGTCGCCCCTTACTAGGCCTGTAGCTTCCTTGATAAAGGTCAAGCTTTACCTTAGGTGAGTCTATTGTCTTTTTACATCTAGGATAACATACCTTTGAAATGTCAGAGTAATCTCCTTTTTCAGACCCCTCATTGTTCATCTTGTTCCCCAAATACCATCTCTATGTGCTATAAATGTTAATTATTAGCTATCCTGTATCCACTAATGTAAAAGAAGTGTCCATTTTGCTTTTTGTCTAATCCCAGAGGTCCCCCCCTTTGCTTTCTCCCACCCCCTTAATCTACCACCAATGGATTTCATGTAACCCTCCTATGTCTCCTCTTATTTTGATGTATAAAATAAGCTGCAAAACTGCCATTCTTCGGAGCATTTTCTCAACCCATTGAGATTTTGCTTCCTGGCAATTGTCATCAGTTTAGCTCAAATAAACTCATAAAAATTCTCTACAGGTTTGGATGTTTCTTATGTTGACCCAGGCACATGGAAATCAGATACTGTCTTTAATTTTCTTTCTTGACCTCGGAGAATTTTAAATTACAATTTAAAATGCTCTGTTGAAATTGTCCTTTGAAGAAAGATGAAGAAGAGAAGATGGAAGATACCAGCGACCACAGGCTCACCTGCGGAAACTTAGTTGCGGCAAAGGTCTCATTTAAAGTTTAAATCTACTCATCTGCTAGGTGTCGTTATCATTACAGCTCTTTAATGTTTACTGAGGGAAGGAGGTTTTCTGAGCTCTTTGGTTTTAATTACAAGGATTTTCTCTACTCTTCTAGGAATGTGACAGTTCACCGTGAGGCTAGTGATGGGAACACAGCTGGGGGCACATCCTCCGGAAAGGAACCTGTATGGGCTGTTTGGAGTTAAGGAGTGCATTTGTTACCAGCCTTTCTTTGGATTTAGTCTCCTAAGGTGCAAATAACCTCGCCAGACCTGTGATGCTTCGCCACCCACCTATGAAACCGAAATCTCCAGTCCGATGTCAATTAACCACCCATTGTAGGCCGTGCAGTTTCTTGTTCAGCAGAGAGCACTGGACTTCCAGCCAGGATGGTGCTGGGCTGCCCTGGCCGGTTCAGCTCAGTGGTTAGAGTGTCGGCCCTCGGACTGAAGAGTCCCAGGTTCGATTCCGGCCAAGGGCACGTACCTCAGTTGCAGGCCCCATCCCTGGCCCCTGTCATGCGGGAGGCAACCAATCGATGTCTCTCTCCCTCCCCCCCACTCTCTCTGAAAGCAATGGGAAAAAATATCCTCGGGTGAGGGTTTTAAAAAAAAAAAGATGGCACTGGACTGGTTCGTTTCTTCTGTAGAAAAATCTAAGTGTCTCTGATGCCTCTAAACCAAGCACAGTATGAGGCTGGATCCTTTAGCAGCTGTGTGGGTGGAAAGGGCAAGCAAGTTCATTTCTCCACAGAGAGGCTTCCAGGAGGGATTGCGAGAGTTCTGTGTTCTCCATTCTGGGGCAGAGATACAGCTTTATCCCAGGGGCGCATCCAGCTACCTTTCCTAGGGATTATGGCCCTGATTCCACTTGTCCCCCTCTGTTCTCTGGAGAAAGAAAACTCCATGGTCGCACCAAGTCTCAGGTCTCAAGGGATGGTCCTGAGGTTCTCTGATAACATCTTCCATCTCTTTAGTGGTGTCTCAAGAAGGGGAAGCCGGGATATGGTATATGGTTTTCTGCTGAGATACCTGTTTACACTGAAGATTCAGTATCCTATAGGAGAGCCTCACTCATTCCTAAACTATTATTAAGCATCCCTAGGTACCAGGCAGGCTTTGATAGGCTCAGCCCCAAGAATTAGAGAATGGAGGGGGTTTGTTGGCGAGACCCCAGGAGTCTTCCCTGCTGTGCACTGCACTCTGTGGGCGCCTCTCTGTCTTTTTGTACCTTCCTTTTCTTTCCAGGCAGCGAGACTATGTAGTTTTGGTAAAGTACAAAATATTCCTAAGAAGCATCATTTAACCTTCCCCCAAAGGACATGGTGGGAGTGTGTGAAAAGCTGATGCTAGTGTAAAAATGGAAAAAGACAAGGGAAAAAACCCTGTCAAGGGCTTTTTGACCTTCTTTTCTGGCACTATTTCAATACTCTTTGTCTTCTCCTGGCAGGAGACAGACAAATTTTCCCAGGGCAGCCACATCCTTTGTCCACAGCCCATTTCAGAAGTGCTATCTCTAAATTGCCAGCAGAGGTGGAAGGAGATTTTGCTAAAACTGTTGACAGAGCAAAGCTGCTGCCAGATGAAAATCCGGCTGCTTGAAACACTGGGAGGAGTTTTTGGAGGTTAGAATCAGACAACGGTGCGCAGGGAGCGAGATTTCACTGGGAGAAGTGTCTTTCGCCGGGACAAGACGGATGAAAACGTGCTGGTGGTGGGTCAGGGAGATGCTGTGCTGTTGAGAAATTCAGACAATCTGTGGTTCATGCAGCCCAATAAATTGGCTGCCCTGCAGTGATTATTCGAAGTAAAAATATGGCGATGTCACCTGCTGCATAAAGTCCTTCACAGGCTCTTTGCCAGTGCCCATTGCCCTCAGGGAAAAGCCTAAGCTCCTTAGCTTGGCACAGAAAGTCCTTTGCTATTTGGCCCTAGCATCTTTCTTGCTGTCCACCTTGCCTACCTTTACAGTCCAGTAATACAGTTACTTGCAGTCTTCCCCACAAATGGCCACTGTTGTTAAAATTTTGTACAGTCTTAATTTCTCTGGGTTATATATGGGGGACAGATAGCTTCTGACTTAGAATGTCAGACACGACTGTCCAAAAGGCTGGAAACAGCTCACAATCAAAAGGAAAATCTTTGAGAACTCGGTGTATTGTTAGTGTTGAGAAGTGAGCATAGCATGTGGGAAAACAACTCATTGGTGTAACCCCATCTCTTGATTTACCTCTTAAAAGAATCCTCACTCATACTTGAGGTCACCTCTTGCAGGAAGCCGCCTTTGACTTTTCCTAGACTGGGCTAGATGTTCCTTCTCTGTCTCCTCTAAACTGTGAGTTCTATAAGGACAGGGATTGTGACTTATAAACCTTTGATCTCCCAGCTCCCAGCACAGGGCCTTCTGGATCCCCAGCCCTTGTTTGAGAGCCACCTGGGAACACAAGCCCCCACGGGCAGGCTCGCTCCTAAGGAGGAGAAAGAAAGGGGCTGGGCTATCCTTTGAAACTCCCAGTCACATGGCTCACTCCTCCTTCCCAGCAGCGAGCCGGAGACAGAGAGGAAGGAGCGAGGGGAAAACCACAGGAACATTGAATAGCTCACCCCCCACCCTCAACAGAATCGCCTACTGCATTTGCACTCTCGAATTCACACTATGTTATTGATAAATGAGTTTCCTTTCTGCAACTTCTATTTATTCCCTTTTTGTTTTTTAAAATTAAAAAGCCCTTTAAACAAAAGTAATATGTATACATGGTTTAAAAAAACACTAACAATATATACAGATAGGCTCATCGTGAAAAGCAACAATCTCCTTTTCTAATTCTTTCTAAGCTCAGAGACAAAATATTTTACTCGTTTAGCTATTTTTTCCTATGGTTTCCTTCAGATCTCTAATATCTCTTGATTTGGCAGCCTGAGCTTTTCAAGGCACAAAGCTGACCTCATGTCACCCCCCTGCCTGAGACTGATGGCTGCCCTTTGGAAAATGGGCAACTCCTCGCAGGGCTAAGCAGGCCTGCTTCCCCCAGCCCCCTGCCCGCCTTACCGACTCTCCTGTTTTCTCTGCTTTTCCTTGTCCATGTGCGTTTTCAAGTTTTACTTGTTCAG